TTTAAAACAGCGTACTCTGCGGAGAAATTTCTTAAGGTATTTATGGTCGCATTCTCATTTTCTTGGTCTCATTTAATAGAATGGAAGACATATTACAGAAACACAGATGATTCTGAATGGTTTACAGACAAAAAGTCCAATACGTCAACAAATGGGTCTAATATGCTTTCACAAATGCTCTGATATTATTTATACCATTTTTACAATAATGCAGTGGTCTGCATAACAGTAAACCTTCTATTTTTTTGTGTGAATAAAAATTCAAAATGGAAATCAAGCATAATATAAGAGGGGCCTGGAGATGTGATTAATGAACAGACAAAATGTTATTTTAGTGCCAGGGATGTCTGCCCTGTTTATTTTGGACCCTATTTTGAAATTGGCCTTTCTTAAATTTTTGTATAAAATTGACCAAATTACCAATTTCTGATCACTTTATTGGGTAGGTGAAATAGGTAAATGGGCAGTTTCTTGTACTCAACCGAGAGAACAAAAGGAGTTCCAGTGAAACAGCTATAAATACAGTTGACTGGAACAATGTAACTGGCAGAAAATAAGAGCTCAAGTGGGCAAAATCGCCGATGCGCAAATATCACCGAGACCATTAACTTCACGAGAGCGTAACTCTGTAAGTTTTCCATCAAATTTCATACTTTTGGTTTCAATACCATTGGGGAAAGATTCCCTATTATTTCATAAGAAATTTTTTTTTTTTGAATTCTTGGACATTGAAAGCGTGTTTGCAAGCAGGGGTCTCGACAGTGAAAGGTTTAAGAAGGAAAACAGCCCTAGTTTTTTTTTTTTTTTGTAGTTTATCTAAACTATATTAAGCATGAGTGTACTGTACTGCCTGAAAATCTTCTTGTTACAAATTAACCTCTAATAAATATTTTCTTTACAACTTTCTTTGTATTTCTATTTCAGAGTATCAGAAATAACCCACCAATAAAAACTAATCATTCCCTTTTTGTTGTCTTTACATACCTGAATAACACAAATGGCTTATTGGTTAAGAATTCTTACCCACAAAGGATTTGCTTCTATATAAAATTTTAACATTTTTTCCACAAATCATGTAGACCTCTCCCGGAAATTAATCAAATACCTAATACTTGTGCTACCTCTGCTAGCTCAGTCAGGAAATGCACTACATCACTTCACGAATCTCAGAAACATTAATAATACTGACTGCTCCAACAAATATTTTTGCCTCATTTTCCAAAGCAATGCGGATGGAAGACTTTATGTACGTTTTCACATTTTAAGACATTTAACCCTTTGACTGTTTTGATCGCATATGTACGTATGTATGTATGTATGTATGTATCTTTATATGTGTATGCTTCTAAGCTGTTGTATTCTAGCACCTCTGCAAAACAGGATAATGGCGAGTGGGTGAAAGTTTTTAAATGAGATGAAAGTATTTCTTTTTGGGGATTTTCTTTCTTTTTGGGTCACCTGCTCGGTTGGGAGACGCCGACTTGTGAAAAAAAAAAAAAAATACGTCCTTACGCAGCACTGTTTTGGACGTATTTATACGCGTAAATTCTAGCGACTTCAAATCAAGCAGGAGAAAGCTGGTAGGCCCACATGTGAGATAATGGGTCTGTGTGGTCAGTGTGCACCACATAAAAAAAATCCTGCAGCACGCAGTGCAAAATGAGAAAAAAAAAAACGACCGTTTTTTTGGATTAAAACACCGACTTTGCTGTATATTTTCGTACAGTATTTATCGTTGTATTCTCATTTTCATGGTCTCATGTGATAAAATGGAAAACATATTACAGAAATAGAGATGATTTTGATTAGTTTCATGATGAAAACGACCTTGAAATTGAGCTCAAAGTAGTGGAAATGTTCAATTTTTACCAATATTCAGGAGTAAGGAAATCACACCACATGTCCAATACGCGTCAACTGGGGAGTCTAATATTCTTTCACTAGTGCATTGATATTATTTATACCATTTTTACAATAATGCAGTAGTCTGCATAACAGTAAATTTTGTATTTTTTGTATGAATAAAAAAATCAAAACAGAAAGCAATAGTAATATAAGAGGGGCCTAGAGACCTGACTAATGAACAGAGGATATGTTAGTTTAGTGCCAAGAATGTCTACATTCTTTAGTCTGGCCCTTATTTTGAAATTGGCATCTTTTTTACTTTGCATAAAATTGGCCAAATGGCCAATTTCTGACCACTTTATTGGGTAGTTCAAATCAGTAAATGGGCGGTTTCTTGTACTCAACTGATAGAAAAAAATGAAGTTCTAAAGAAATAGCTATGAGTTTGGTCAACTGAAACAATGGAATTGGCCAAAAACAGGGCTCAAAGTCGGCGAAATCGCCGATGCATATAAGTCGCAGAGACCGCTAATTTCGCAGGAGAGTAATTCCACGAGTTTTCAACCAAATTTTGTACTTTTGGTGTCCTTACCATTGGGAAAAGATTCTCTATCATTTCATAAAAAAAAAAAAAAATCCCAAAAATTTTGCGACATAGACTGACAGTTTCAGAAAGGGGCTTGCGACAGTCAAAGGGTTAACTACAGACTAAAACATGCGACAAATAACTACACCTCAATACACTGTAAATAGATGTACCATAAATTTTACCAAGAATTGAAATCCATTTCCTAGATTAGGCAACCTTTTATAATTTTATATTAAAAATATTACAGTATAATCAATGCCTTTTTATGCAGAATATTCCAAATAATAATTTACACAAGAATAGAGAGTGACGTAACTTCTACCATCACCACAGTATTACGTATTTGTACTAAAGATACAAATATTGTTATTATTTGTAAATATAAGGATAATAATTAAAATTCATTTTGAGGCAGACTCAAAACTACTGTCTCATCGTGCTGAGTACACATACAACACAATTTTTCCCTCATCAAGAGCTCTGAACCAACTGATCAGACGGGTCTGGGAGAGGGAACCATAATATACAGTAGTCCTATAACAGCCTCATAGTGTGATTTTGTATAAACTGATTTAAAATACACACAAATATTATACATACTGCATTAAAACCTTGATAATCACCACAAACTAAAAGAATTATGTGCAAAATTTGGGTAGTACCCTCAGAATTTCACACAGCTAGCTAGGCCACAAGCAGTGCACCAGCTTTCCAGGTCTTGCTAAGCAAAAAGTCATGTTCAAGAATATTCTGCAGCATTTTCCTTTACCATTTTTCCCAAAATTTATATAAATTATGAATATTTAGTTATATACAAAACCTATATAAAATGTATGAAGGGAATATTTGGTACATTATCATAATTACACATTTATGTACATTTGGTCCATTATCATTATTACACATTTATGTACTTTCAACAATGAATTATCTACTCTAACTTATTTCTACATTTGTTGAACATGTTAATTGACAATAAAAGAGAATAAGAGTTCAAATGATAAAGTTCTAGTGGAGATAAAGTATACGTTCATTGAGGCACAGCCAATACATCAGTAACTGCCCAAACACTATCACACATTCTAGAGATTCATCACACCTTGTCAAGTATAGCAAACTAGTCTTTAACTGGCTAATAAAAATGAGGCAAGATGTACATGCATGTCTCTTGCCAGCTGCTGCCCCTGTTATGTTATCAACATTGCAGTGCAGTAATATTTTGGAGATAGAGGTGCATTACTGCCATGCTGACTCTGGCTTTGGTTAAAAAAAAAAAGCCAGCTAATTACTTTCTCTTCCGCTAAGCTCATTTTCAGCTTTTCATACACAGATCATACAATGTTTTACAGGCAATTTGGATATGAATTGAAGAATTTAATATAGAAATCTGCAATATTACAATATTTCTGGGAGCCAAAGCCAGAGTTGGCAGTTCTCTCCACATCTCCCAGACATCCTCCCACTTTTATGCAAGTAATTACTGCTTAATTTTCCTTGGTTATTATTTTAACAAATGCAATCTCATCTTTCATGTGTTTGTCTGGAATGTTTTGAGCTACATTCGGTAAGGAAATGAAGTTTTATTTTCATAATGTTAACTTGCTGAGGTCCCCAGACGATGCTCCCTCAAACCCCTTTTCTTCATTTTGACTTTATCAATGCCTTTAGTTTTTGTATATGTTAGTTTAGTATAGGTACAGAGAATTCCTATGTTTGGTATAATTTGATAAGGAAATGTGTCTTTTCCTTTTATATTGTTGTGCATCAACTGATAAACCTCTCAACATCCAACTTGGTCCAGCAGAACCACTTTAATCCTTTCTCAACACTCTTCAAATTGTTCAAGTAATTGATCAACAGTGTGAGGTAATTTACACAATAGCAAATTTTTCCTACCAGAATAGCAACAAAAAAAAATGATTTACCAATTTGAAAGCATATGGAACCTAATTCGATATTTTCCACATGTTCTTAACTTCGCATAACACAATTTTCAAAAAGGCACCGTGTTTCATTAACATACCTAGAACATTATGAAAGTTTTCTATTGCTGCAAACCCTAGGAATAAATTTGGTTTTACAGAGAGTTATGGTATTAAATATATAAAAAATTTATTAATGATAGGTTTAAAGACTTGAAATACACAACCACAATCACAGAAGTTAAGAATAATATAACATCAGCATTCTGGACAAATGTGAAGACACCAGGTACAAAAAAAAAGCCAATTACAATTTTGAAATTTTGGCCAAATACAGTAGCTACCAGAAATAATGCAATACTGTACTTCAAAATATATCTCCATTCTGGGTTTACAAAACAGACTGCTGGATTATCAGTGTTTTACTGTAAATGGGTTTTCTTTAGTTCCAAATCAATAAACTCACACATCTATACAATCTTGAATATATCATGATAGTGCCTTTCAGACAGAGGAAAGATACCCAAACCTATGCAAACCACGGCATGCATAAGCAACTCCTACCACAATTTTCTACACAAGTAACCATCCCAGATGAAATAAATGAAGTGTCTTAATGTCAAAAAAACTATTTTTGTACTTACCATTCTTCCTCTTTGTGGTTGACAAAGAACTCATTCAGCTGTTGTCTTTTAAACTCAAGTTTGTATTCAGAGTACTTCCTGAGAGCTTCCTCTTCCGTAATAGAATCATCACACTGTTCCATAAAAGCCTTAAAGGTCATCATTGGAGGTTGTGTCGGGCCCAACTCGTCTAGTCTGTTAAGGGATCACAATCAGACTTCAGATTAAAAAACTTTAGCTCAATTTGCAATAAAAATCCCCTACCATTTATATTAAAAATACCTATTAATCAAAATACCTTATCTACCATCATACTATTTTTGGCTGGATACCACATATCTATACCTATCTGACATTCATTCCCTTTATTATAAGACTAATATTCTCCTCCATGGAAAAGTGGAAAAGAATCCTTCCTACGTAAGTCATAAGAGGTGACTAAAATGCCAGGAGCAAAGGGCTAGTAACCCCTTCTGCATAAATTCTTAAATCCAAAAAGAAGAAAGGTTTTTGTTTCTTCTTTTTTTTGGGTCACCTGCCTCAATGGGAGACTGCAAACATAAAAAAAAAAAAAAAAAAAAATTGCATAAATTCTAAAAAGTTCTCTTTATTTAAATAAGAAAACTGAAAAACTAGTTTTCATTCTTAATTTTATTACTTTTATCTATTTAAACAGAGAATGTTTAAGGGGCAAATCAGAACACACAAACACGTTAAAGATATTCCTTATTGTTAGTCTGGGTTAGCCTCTCCCTCTAGAAATTACTCACCCCCCTCTTGGGGAAAACACCCCCCATTTAATCTAGTGTCTGGGTTTGATCCTAAGACTGGTCAAAGTTCATGGAAAAGAAAGACAGCAAAAGGATCTACAGTCCACATCAAGGGTCCTTAACATAGTCTTTGCATTTATTTATTTTTAATATTATATTCTGGTTAATTTAATAATACTTAACTAGTTCTTAAATTTACTTAATTGTTAAGTGAAAATATATATACATATATGGAAGCTAAGAGGGGTATTTTCCTTATAACAGAATACCTAAATATGTTAAGCTCATAAGGGTAAATGTAAATGTACTAAAAGTAGCATTCAAAGAATAAAGAGATGTCATTAGAACAGTAATAATGTATTTTTTCCTTAATTCATACAAAGCAAAGTACATTAGTATGTACACTTAAATATAACCAGCAGTAAATGTGTTAATACAAGGATTGGAATGTAAAAATATTAATATTATTGTTAGTCACTATGCTGATCTATCAACTAAAGTTGCAGGTTGAATTTTGATCAACAGGACTACAGTCTTCATATATAGTAGGGCCCCACTTACACGGCAGGTTAGGTTCCAGGCTACTGCTGGAAAGCGGACATCGTCAGAAAGCAGAACGCCATTTTTCCACTTATAAATGCATATAAACGCCAGACAACAAGTTTACAATAACTTATATTAAGTTAGTAATAGAACTAGGCATTAACTCCTTGACTGTCGCAGCCCCCAATCCTGAGGTGTCTCCTGGTGTCGCAAAATTTCAAAAAAAAATTTTTTTTTTTTCTTATGAAATGATAATCTTTTTCCGATTGTAATGATACCAAAAAAATGAAATTTGATGGAAAACTGACGGAATTACGCTCTCGCGAAGTTAGCGACCTTGGTGATATTTACAAATCGGCGATTTCGCCCACTTTGAGCCTTATTTTCGGCTAATTCCATTGTTTCAGTCGACCAAATTCATAGCTATTTCTTTAGAACTCCATTTTTTCTATTAATTGAGTACAAGAAACTGCCCATTTGCCAATTTCAACTACCCAATAACGTGGTTAGAAATTTGCAATTTGGCCAATTTCACGAAAATTAAAAAATATGACAATTTCAAAATAAGGTCCAGAATGAACAATGCAGACATTCCTGGCTCTAAAATAACATTTTCTTTGTTCATCAGTCATGTCTCCAGGCCCCTCTGATATTACTCTTGCTTTCTATTTTGAATTTTTATTCAAACAAAAAATAGAAGATTTACTATTATGCAGACTGCTGCAATACTGTAATAATTGTATAAATAACATCAACCCATTCATGACTGCATATTAGAATGGCTAGTTGGACATTTATTGGACAATGACATCATTTGTTTATTTTTAACATCGGCAAAAATCAAACATTTCCCCTACTTTGAGCTCCATTTCCAGGTTCTTTTTATAGTAAAATCAATCAAAATTACCTCTATTTCTATAATACAGTGGTCCCCCGCTTTTCGTAGTTCCCGGCAATCGTAAAATTCGCCAATCATAGAGGTATTTTCGTATAAACATGGACTCGCTTTTCATAGGTTGACTCGCGAGTCGTAGTTCGTCTGGGACGCGTACCCACGGCGTGAGCCAGGGCGGCAGCCAGTCTGGCATTGTTTACCAGTGAGTGAAGGTCCCCTCATGTGCTCCAGCGAAATATTTCATAATATTCCATTTATTTTAGTGCTTGCAAGTACTAAATAAGCTACCATGGCTCCAAAGAAAGCTCCTAGTGCCAAGCCTGTGGTAAAGAAGGTGAGAAATACGATTGAATTTAAGAAAACCATCATTGAACAATATGAAAGTGGTACAAGTGTGGCCGAACTGTCCAGGATGTATAAGAAACCCTACACAACCTTATGTTCCATAGTGGCCAAGAAAAATGAAATAAAGGATGCTGTTGTTGCAAAGGGAGTAACTATGCTGACAAAAATGAGATCACCAGTACTGGAAGAGGTTGAGAAGTTATTATTGGTGTGGATGAATGAGAAACAATTAGCAGGAGATACTCTTATGACTTCGTTTATTTGTGAAAAGGCTAGGCAGTTGTATGAAGATTTGGTAAAGAAATTGCCTGCAAATAGTGGTGAAGTGAGTGAATTTAAGGCCAGCAAAGGCTGGTTTGAGAGATTTAAGAACCGTACTGGCATACACAGTGTGGTAAGGCATGGTGAGGCTGCCAGTTCGGACCACAAGGCGGCTGAAAAATATGTGCATGAATTCCAGGAGTACATAGAGGCTGAAGGACTGAAACCTGAACAAGTGTTCAATTGTGACAAAACAGGCCTCTTTTGGAAGAAAATGCCAAAGAGGACCTTCATTACACAAGAGGAAAAGGCAATGCCAGGACACAAGCCTATGAAAGACAGGCTGACGCAAATGTTCTGTGCTAATGCTAGTGGGGATTTCAAAGTGAAGCCATTACTAGTGTACCATTCTGAAAATCCCAGAGTGTTCAGGAAAAACAATGTTATGAAGAGTAAATTGTGTGTGTTTTGGAAATCTAATAGTAAGGCATGGGTCACGAGGGAAATTTTCGTCGAGTGGTTCAATGAAGTGTTTGGCCCTAGTGTGAAGGAGTATCTCCTGGAAAAGAAATTGGATCTCAAGTGCCTGCTAGTAATGGACAATGCACCTGCTCATCCTCCAAACTTGGATGACCTAATTTTCGAGGAGTTTGGGTTCATCACAGTAAAGTTCTTGCCCCGAATACCACTCCTCTCCTCCAACCCATGGACCAGCAGGTTATTGCAAACTTTAAAAAACTCTACATAAAAGCAATGTTTCACAGGTGCTTGACTGTGACCACAGACACTCTCTTGACCCTAAGGGAATTTTGGAGAGAACACTTCAGCATCCTCCACTGCATAACCCTTATAGGTATGGCTTGGGAGGGAGTGACTACCAGGACTTTGAACTCTGCCTGGAGAAAATTGTGGCCAGATTGTGTCGACAAGAGGGATTTTGAAGAATTTGGGACTGACCCTAATGAGCCTATGTCTGATGTAAAATCAATTGTGGCACTGGGGAGTTCCATGGGGTTGGATGTGAGTTTGGAGGATGTGGAAGAATTGGTGGAAGACCACAATGAAGAGCTCACCACTGAGGAGCTGCAAGAGCTTCAGCAGGAAGAGCAACACATCGCAGCTCAGAATCTTGCTGCAGAGGAGGAGGAAGAGAGATGGAAGAAGGTGCCTTCTTCAGAAATTTAAGAATTTTTTACTATGTGGGGTAAGATGGAAAGCTTTATGGAGAAACATCACCCTAACAAGGTTGTTGCAAGCCAGGTTGGCAACATGTACAGTGACAAAGTCTTGGGCCATTTTAAGGAAGTGTTAAAGAGATGCCAGAAACAGAGCTCTCTCCACAGTTATTTTGTGAGACAGGACTCCAGTGACTCTCAGGTGGTCCTAGTGGCATTAAGAAACAGAGAAGAGAAGCAACCCCAGAAAAGCAAATGGTACCTGAGGTGTTGATGGAAGGGGATTCCCCTTCCAAACTATAAACAATCCACTCTCTCTCCTCCAGTCTCCCATACACTAAGAAAAATCTCCAATAAAGGTAAGTGTTATGCTGTTAATGTTTCATTCATCATTTCCCATTGTATTGTTTATGTACTACATGCATATTTCATGTTAAAAAATTTTTTGTTTTAATACTTCTGGGTGTCAGGAACGGATTAATTGTATTTACATTATTTCTTATGGGGAAAATTGATTCGTAAATCGTAAATTTCGTTTATAGCAACGGCTCCATGAACGGATTAATTACGAACAACGAGGGACCACTGTATATTTTCCATTCTATCAAATGAGACCAAGAAAACGAGAATACAACCATAAATACTATACGAAAATAGACCACAAAATCGGCATTTTAATTAAAAAAAAAACGATCAGCTTTTTTTTCTCATTATGCACTGCATGCTCCAGGATTTTTTTTATATGGTGCACACTGACCACACAGACCCATTCTCTCACATGTGGGTCTACCAGCTTTCTCCTCCTTGATTTGAAGCCGCTAGAATTTATGAGTATATATACGTCAAACACGGTACCTCGTAAGATGTATATATACGGCCATGACAGTCAAAGGGTTAAATAACACAATAAGAAGTAAAATACACAGTACATTCATTACTTACCTTAAAATATTTGTAGTCTTAACGTAGGGCAAGAGGTGAGTAGTACTTATTTGTAGGAAGTCAGGTTCAGGTAGCCCTGGCTCCCAGTCCCAAACTTAATATATGATATTTAAAAAAGCCCAGAGAGAGATAATACACATACAGTGCATTCATTATTTCCCTTAAAATATGTGTAGTCTTAATGTAGGATGAGAGGTGAGTGGTATTTATTTGAAGGAAGTCAGGTGTAGCTAGCCGGTAGATGTAACCCGCCTGGGCTACACCTACCTACATAGCTATACAATATTTAATGCGGCCCAGAGCCATATTACCATATACAAACCTTGTTCACCGAGTTTAATAGTTTCTAACAACTACCTTTAGATGCCATCATAAATGAAGGGAGAAGTAATGAATAATTCATGCTGAGAATTTTAAACAAAAGCAGAATGTGAAGGGGAGTGACTGGGCCAAAAGCAGATTCATACACGTTATATCTGGTGCTGGATCAGAGAAAAACAATGTTTTCCCGTCGCCCAGCTACCATGCCTCCATAGCATTATAAACATAGCATGTTTATAGCTACATAATGTCTTTCTTATATAAGTTTGAAGAAAATATCATAAGATGGATTAATGAAAATGTCTACATAAATGTAAAATAAGACATTTAATGTGCCCAAGAGTGTTTATTATTATGTACTGTTAGTATTACTATGGCATTAAGACTAGACTGACACTCTTAGTGATTTTAATGTGTACCTGCATGCCAGCATAGTAAGTATATTTAGGTACAGGTACACATAAGTATAATTATCAGAGTACATACATACAAAATACAACCTCTCCTCACTTAAAGACAAAGTTCAGTTCCTAAGACCTTGTCAGTAAAGAAATACGTCAGTAAGTGAGGAGCATACTATAATGGTAGTGGGTTTGTGTCCACCATCTTTGATATTGTTTTAATGTCACCTTTGTACCATTTATAGCATTTCTGGTATATTTTTAAATGTTTATACAGTAGTGTACTGTATATTGTAATAAGCAGAATAGAGGAAATCAGCTCTAACATACATAATTTAGGTAAGAATACTGGTCAAAGAGCCCGTCGTAAGTCCGAGTCATTGGTAAACGAGTACGTTGGTAAGTGAGGAGAGGCTGTATGCAATAACTTTAAAACACTTGAAATTTTGGCAAGTTTCCATACATAATAGAGAGATGTGCTCACAGAGAATGTAAACAAACCGGGTGGGGCGTGCCGTATTAGAAAGACGGGGATCCGTACAGCGAGTTTTGGTCATAATTTGAAATCATGTATTGGCGAAACACAGTAAAGCGGGGCCCTACTGCACATAAATTACCTGTTTTCTCATGATACTGACCAAAAATATTCCCAATGATTAAAGAATGCCACAATAAGACAGGCAACAAGTGCACACAAAAACATAGCAGCCAATAATCAGTATAAAACAGTGCAAGAATTCTTTACCAATAGGAACTTAAGAGCCTTTTTTGTAGATAAATACTGCAATTTAAGAATATTAAAAAAACAGTATGTGCTACAACCAACTGGAGGTAACATTTCCATACCTTCCTGCACCACCTGCATGTCCAGCTGGATGACCATAATCCTGGCCATAGGCACTTCCATAGGCTCCATAACCAGCAGCCCCTCCACTCTCATATGGGTACCGTCTGTCTTCCCTAAGATAAAACAAACAGTTGAACAATGGCATTGCCAAAAACTAACAAACAGCCCTTTGTAAAATACCCTTGAAATTAGTTTCCCAGCATAAAATTAAGGTAAAACCATTCAGTCATGCAATCATAGCTTGTGTTTTAAAGATTTTGCAATTTAAATTTAGATTTAGATTTCCAACAGAAATAAGCCATTTCCATTATCGCACGCCAGAGAAACTCATTTCCATTGGTAGCATGCATTTCCTTTAACCTTTTCAGGTTCTGCCGGCCCTCTCCTAAACTTGTTCTCAGGGTCTGAAATTTTTCGGAAAAAAAAAAACAAAAAAAATTTTAACTTTTCTTATGAAATGACAGAGAATCTTTTCCCGATCATAATGATACCAAAAGTATGAAATTTGATGAAAAACTTACGGAATTATGCTCTCGCGAAGTTAGCGGTCTCGACGATGTTTACGCATTGGCAATTTCGACCACTTTGAGCCCTATTCTCTGCCAATTCCAACGTACCAGATGACAAAAATCATAACTATTTCGCTATAACTCCATTTTTTCTATCAAATGAGTACACGAAACCATCCATTTACTGATTTCAACTATCCAATAAAGTGTTCAGAAATTGGCAATTTTGCCAATTTCACACAAATTTCAAAAGATGCCAATTTCCAAATAGGGTCCAGAATAAACCAGACAGACATTCCTGGCATTAAAATAACATTTTTTCTCTTTATTAGTCACGTCCCCAGGCCTCTCTTACATTTCTTTTGCTTTCCACTTTGAATTTTTATTCTCACAAAAAAATAGATTTACTGTAATGCAGACTATTGCATTAGTGTAGAAATGGTATAAATAATATCAGCACACTTGTGAAAGAATATCAGACTCATCAGTTGACGTGTATTAGACGCATGGCATGATTTGTTTACTTTTGAACTTTGGCAAAAATCGAACATTTCTGCTACTTTGAGCTCAATTTCGAGGTACTTTTCATTGTGAAACCAATCAAAATCATCTCAATTTCTGTAATATGTTTTCCATTCTATAAAATGAGACCAGGAAAACTAGAATACAACCATAAATAGCATACAAAAATACACTGCAAAGTCACTGTTTTAAAGCAAAAACACGGTCGGAGTTTTTTTCCTCATTATGCACTGTGTGCTGCAGGATTTTTTTTATACTGTGCACACTGACCACATAGACCCATTCTTTCATATGTAGGCCTACCAGCTTTCTCTCGCTAGATTTGAAGGAGCTAGAATTTATGCGTACTAGTATGGCACCAACCCTGAAAGGGTTAAGGAGTGCCATGGCAAGTAGCCAGCTGGGAGACCCATGACTAAGCAATGGGCAACTCCATTGTTTTAACAGTGTAGGGGATGCTGTGAGGGAGGGTGAAAGGATGTGACCTGTCTTCCATATAGGGTAGTGTATCTGGACATGTACTGCATGGTTTTTACTCAGTTTTTCCTTCATTTCATTACCCCGTCTCATCTCTGCATATTTACTGTAACATCCAAATTAAGTGCAAGTGATAATGGTATTAAACATCAAACTACGCCTATTTCAAGAAAATTAGATGCACATGTAATTGAGATGCAAAAGAGGGGTGCAAGTGTCATGGAGAAGCCACAAACCTTTGGTGTTAGAGTTAATGATTCATTTAAGACAGTGAGACACAAAAGCTTGTGCAATGAGTAATCCTCAATGTGACTGAAAAAATGAGGACTAGGTCATTACAGTTAAGTAAAACAAAATTTACTAAATGTGTGGACTGAAAAGCTGTATGGTCTTATTAGGGAAAAGATCAAACTATGAAACAGGAGTGTGAAGAGGAAGGACAGCTTGAAAATGCATTTATATTTAGTTCTGGATGGTTTAACTGGTTTAAAATGCCCAGTAGATTATATAAAGAACTGCAGAGTAAAACAAACCAGCAAGAGTATGACAATACCTGAGTACTCCAATCAGCTAATGAAGCTGCATCAACAATCTGTGATCCCCAATCTTCAATATTATATCACCAATCCCAACCACCAATCTTAGGCCAGTAGGGCAGTAGTCATCCCTCTCTACTCACTTTAGGATGTTAAGCACCACCAACCCAACATAACGGTAAGTAACAAATACCATACAGTATTAATGTAACCAATTTTTTTTTTTAACTATATATTCTCATCTTTTTCACTGCTTGAACCTCACTCAAATTAAGGTATTTCACAGAGCATGCTCATCATAAAAATTATGTAAAAAAAAAAAAAAATATTTTTCAAAGAATTATGATCCTTTTTTTTTTTTTTTTTTTTTTGAAGTCTCAGGAGTGTAACCCTATTTTTCTCATAGATTTTCACTTCATAAGTTATGGAAATCATTTGAAGCACAATTTTCAGGAACAACCAATGCAAATTATGAATATCTACTGGACTACACCCTTCATATACACTTGTTAATTATTATTTACAAAGTTAATCATTTCAAAAAACTTATACAGGCAAATAACAAAACCGAAATACTGTAAAGGAAAAAAATTATCAAAACTGCACATAGAACAACAAACAAGCAGTGCAACACTGAGATGTCAAAGAATATTCCAAGGCAATTTTTAGAAAGGTACAAGGCATAAAATTTATATTAAACACATAATGAAGATATTTTAATTAAAAAAAATCAAAATGATTTATTAATACCATACATCAAATTAGCTTACCAGTCCTGTCTCATCCTTTTAACTGGAGGAGACATGTCATGGCGGTTTGGCGAATACCGGTCTCTAGATCTTCCATATTCTCTGCCATATTCACGACGAGATGAACCTCGCTCTCTGCTTCCCCAGTTATCCCGACTCCTGATAATAATGTAGGGATTACTGATCCAGTCTGTTTTCTGTTTTTAATGACACTAAAGCCGTTTGATGTGCAATATTCTTTATATAAGCATCACCCATTACCAATGTATGACACAAGCAACAGATATTTGTATGTACTGTATTAGTTACATATATATTACTACATAAATAGAGATATGCCCTTTGACTGTTTTTATCAGAGAAAAGACTAAAGTCAAACATAATTATAATAGTAATAAATCCTTGTTCAAACCCACCTGTCAGCCCAGTCCTCTCTGGCACCACGCCTGCTGTCATCTCTACGATCTCTCGTGCTACTACTGCTGGTATATTCAGATCTTTCTCCTCGAAATTTGTCTCGTCTTCGTCTCTCATACTCATCGTCGCTGTCTGCCATGCTTCATCTATGCAAAAAATGAAAAAGATGCAGTACTTAAGCAAGGAAAGGGTAAATAAGGTTTTGAGTGCTAACGGGCTTGAACAACAGCAGGCTTTTCTGAGCACATTAGATTAGAGTGGAGGAAAGTGCTTTTATAAATTGATGTGCTATGTGGCTATGAACAAGGTAACATTTATGAAGAGACTTAGGGTAATAATTTAGCTAGACTTAGTCCTAGACATAGGAAGTACAGTGTCTGCACTACAAAGAAGCTGCAGCTCGATGGGCTTTCTGAATTTTGAGGTCAGCAAGCTTCTAGATAGTGACTAAATGAATGACAAGTGTCCCTGCTTGCAGATGATGTGAAGTTAATGAGAAGAATTAAATCAGATGAGGATCAGGCAGGACTTCAGAGAGACCTGGATAGGCTGGACGAGTGGTCCAGCAACTGGCTCCTTGAATTTAACCCTGCAAAATGCAAAGTCATGAAGATCGGGGAAGGGCACAGAAGACTGCAGACAGAGTATAGGCTAGGTGGACAAAGACTGCAAACCTCACTCAAGGAAAAGAATCTTAGGGCAAGTATAATACCGAGCACATCTGAGGCACACATCAACCAGATAACTGCTGCAGCATATGGGTGCCTCGCAAACTCAAGAATAGCCTTCCAATACCTCAGTAAGGAATCGTTCAAGACTCTGTGCACTGTGTACGTCAGGCCCATAGAGGAGTATACAGCACCAGTTTGGAACCCACACCCGGTCCAGGACGTCAAGCAATTAGAGAAAGTGCAAAGGTTTGCAACAAGGCTGGTTCCAGAGCTAAGGGGAATGTCCTACAAAGAAAGGTTAAGGAAAATTGGCCTGACGACACTGGAGGACAGGAATGTCAGGGGAGACATGATAACGACAAACAAAATACTTCGAGGAATTAATAAGGTGGACAGACAGGATGTTCCAGAGAGGGGACACAGAAACAAAGGGTCACAATGGGAAGTTGAAGACTCAGATGAGTCAAAAAGATGTTAGGAAGTATTTCTTTAGTCATAGTCAGGAAGTGGAATATTCTGGCAAGTGATGCAGTGGACGCAGGAACCATCACAGTTTTAAGACGAGGTATGATAAAGTTCATGGAGCAGGGAGGACCTAGTAGCGATCAGTGAAGAGGCAGGACCAGGAGCTATGGCTCGACCCCTGCAACCACAATAGGTGAGCACAATTAGGGGAGTACACGGCAAACCCCCCAAAATAAACTAGGATTTACCAGTGACTACATAAGTGGGTATCGTTTTATTAAAGGGGAAGCACATAACCCGCAGGGGTCTTAAAACGCCAGGAAAAGGAGATAAACAGGTCCGATCCCAAGGAACAGAAGGACATGTTTAACTCCATGGTTCAAGAGCCCCTCCCAGGGATCTATGAACCTCCTTTCATGCGAGAAGTCTAAGTGACCAGCTTGTTAAGATTTCACTTGTGTTGAAGAGGACTTGTCGCTACTTTCTTCTCTCCTCCCGACCCACACACGTCCCTCTCCTGCACAACCTTCACCCCACGTGTGCTCCATGCAACAAACTCTTCTCTAGCAGTCTCCCTACTTGCCTAAAATTCAATGGTGAGCTTGGATACTGGAAAATATGCACGTAGCCGGCACAGCGGCGACGCTTGTCAACAAATATGGCTGCCGTGGCCGCTCCTCCTCCACTACACTCTCCTGGTTCTTTACTAACAACCTATTATACACCCTATAATTCAAACTGTACCCACAACCAATACTACGAATTGAAACCTAACAACAAAACTATAACTAAATGCAATAATCGACATATATTCCTTATCAAAGGTAATCTTATCAGCGGGTCCAGGCAAGAACATGGCTAGGAAGAACATCACGTAGCACACTGGGTCTATAGTTTTACGTTACAGGAATTACAGGAACATTATAATGGCTACAGCAAGTGATGGTCTAGCACAGATGTCTCTGGAGGACTTCCTGCAGGAGGAGGTGGTGGTGGGGGCACCAGAGGAGTACACGCAGCTGCCCTCCCACCCTCCTGGCTACCATCACATCTCGCAAAGGTAGTTAGTTGTTTTAGTGTGAGTTGGTTCTATATTTAACTTAGTATGGGTTGGTTCTTTATTTAAGCTAGTGTTTACCTAGAGGGGGTTTCGGGGGTCAACGCCCCCGCGGCCCGGTCTGAGACCAGGCCTCATGGTGGATCAGGGTCTGATCAACCAGGCTGTTTGTAGATGAATGGTTCAGAGAACCGACATGTTTGTAGATGAATGGTTCAGAGAACCGACATGTTGATAAATTAGACACATGTGCAACTCTTGGGTATCTTTATTGAGGAAACGTTTCGCCACACAGTGGCTTCATCAGTCCATACCATCTACAAATCTGTCAGACACTGCAACTTCTTGGGATCTTAATACTTAGGAATTCTTCGCTTGCCTAACTCTTGGGCACAACCTACTTCCACATTGAACAAATGTGACACCACCTATGACTGCTGCACCTCTCCTGCTATACGGTTTATAAGCTGCTTCTCCGCTGATATGCCGTATTCTATTCAAGATTGATGGACTGAACACATCGACTCAAGGTTGAGGGACTGATTACCTCATTCTCCTCCTGTTCTTCAAGTTTCTCCTACGTACGGACTGATGAAGCCACTGTGTGGCGAAACGTTTCCTCAATAAAGATACCCAAGAGTTGCACGTGTCTAATTTATCAACCAGGCTGTTACTGCTGGCCGCACGCAAGCTGATGTACGAACCACAGCCCGGTTGATCAGGTACTGACTTTAGGTGCCTGTCCAGTGCCTTCTTGAAGACAGCCAGGGGTCTATTGGTAATCCCCCTTATGTATGCTGGGAGGCAATTGAACAATCTTGGACCCTGGACATTTATTGTGTTGTCTCTCATTGTCCTCGTGGCAACCCAGCTTTTCATCGGGGGAATGTTGCATCTCCTGCCTATTCTTTTGCTTTCATATGGATTGATTTTCGTGTGGGTTGGTTCTGTATTAAGTTATACAGTATGCACAGTACGCGTAAGAAGTGTAACAAATATCCCCCATTGAAAGAAAACCTTCTATCAGTCCTATGCTATGTATCAAACGATGATAATGTCACAAAACTGACTGACGTCTGAAGTTTCCTCTCCAGTGTGGATTATTCTTTTATTGTTTTAGTTACGGTATCGCGACTTGTATTCATCTGATAAATTTTAATGTAATTACAAATTACATAGGCATTATGAATATGCAAACAAAAATTACTGTACCTAGGATATGAGCAACAATGGGCCCCAAACGCCAGTTTGTCCGGTTCCCATTCTGATTTCGCCTCATTTTTATAATCTCATTCCTGCTAGTCACCCCTCAAGACAGGTTTCCGTAATACAAGGTGAAATGGCATGAACAATTAATTGGGCATTTATTACGGCTGTTTCCCTCTCCAGTTGCTTTGTCAAATCAATACAAATACCATAATAAAGTAAAATGTACTTAATTGTACATACGTATCTGTCACACACAGTATATTCTGAGGGGGGTACACCTCTATTTATGTATATGCACAGAGCTACACTGTGTGTATACCAAGGTATGTATTTTTCAATGCAGTATACATACCTAGAGTTTGCGAAAAATATGGGCTTTTCCATACTAATTCCAGATTTTTAAACACAAAGAATTTGCGAGATTTAATATAGTATTTAATTTAGTAATGATGGTGCCCTCCAAGGGAGAGGCTTTGATGCTACTGAAGGGCTCTTGATCGAAGTCATTTGAGCAACCTCGCCCCCTTACTCTTCCATGGGATCAAATCCGATTGTCTCCTAAGTATCTGAAAGAAACACATTTATCGTCACTCATTCGTCTTACTTATTTATTAATCATTCAGAAATGTGCACCCATCATCACGTAATAATGGCATCCAGTGGTAGGCTGTGTTTGCTCAACCTTCTCGCACTGGTCCAACACTTCAGCGAGACATCTCATCGTGTGGACTGACATAGCATAAGGGCACTTGTCTATTGCAATGCATTCATTGACTGAAACACTATTGACCTACACGGGTTTAGGCACTTTACATGAATATAATATTAATTATCACAGGCCTCCAGCGCTGGTCGACCAGCACGAAGTATGCAAATCATTCACAAATAAGAGAAGCATGTATAATTATTAAATGACTGTCACAGAGTTTCGAGGAATAATCCAAGAACAGTGTAGAAATTTTAACTATAACAGGAAAACTATAACCTTTAGGCTGTTATTACGAATTTTGGCTTTTCGTTATAACACCAGAGGGAATAATTAATGTTTACATGCTAATGAGTAGTTTAGTCAACAGTGATAATTAATTGACAAAATACGGTATGCGCATTCCAAAAAATAGATCAGTAATAAATATATACAAACAATTTGATCAGTAATAATATAGTATACAAATAGTTAAGCAATGATATATAAAAATAGATCAGCAGTAATAATTGTAATAAACTGATCTGTAATAATAATAATGTAAACAAATCTATTATGAACTTGTGTTACCATCTAATCCTAATGGTTATCATTTTAACCATAATTTTTAATGGGGTGGACTGGTAAGCCGACGAAAGGCCTCGATCAGATGACCAAAAGTTCCAGGTGTGGGTCATCATACGACTAAAACCTGCGTCAGGAAACACTTGTCCTGTTTTCTGACAAATCTTACCTAACCCATTATGAACCCTCTGGAACATTGGCAGTGGCGGCCTTGATGGAAAGTTAATTGTCCACTCATTCCCCAAGGAGCAGTGTAATTCCTACGAGTTTAACGCTTCTCCATAAGTATAATAATAAGATAAGATTTCGTTCGGATTTTTAACCCCGGAGGATTAGCCACCCAGGATAACCCAAGAAAGTCAGTGCGTCATCGAGGACTGTCTAACTTACTTCCATTGGGGTCCTTAATCTTGTCCCCCCAGGATGCGACCCACACCAGTCGACTAACACCCAGGTACCTATTTGCTGTTAGGTGAACAGGACAACAGGTGTAAGGAAACGTGTCGAAATGTTTCCACCCGCCGGGAATCGAACCCGGGCCCTCCGTGTGTGAAGGGAGCTTTAGCCACCAGGCCACCGGGCCACCCAGGTAGCACTTGATTGGTTAATGAAATTAAAGCCAATTGGCTACAGGGCAAGAATACTTCAATCCCTAAAATAGGGATTAAAGTCAGCATTTTACGCTGAGAGAAATATACCTCTCAGTGTATGTCTTGTGTGACAGCACTAGACGTACGAGGTCGAGGATGACAGAGATCCTCGAGAAAAACAGCGAAATATGGTTATGAAAATATTTGATGTGTAAATGCTTCATTTAGCACAGTGCTAACACAACAACCTAACCTAATTTTGCTAAAATTTACATTATGCAAAATACCAACTTACCCAACTTATATGAAGAATGTGCATAGCTTTATGAGTCACTTTTTACACACATACGGCCAGGCGATTGTACTTTAAGAGGGGCCAGGAGCCGAGACTCGACCCCCACAAGTACAACTCGGTGAGTATACGCGAGTTGACCAGCACCTTACTCTCCTTACAGATGGAATGGAGGGCCTAATAGATGGAGTGGTGGTGTGGGTAGCCAGAGAGGCGCTCATAGAGGTGCTGCTGCTACTTCCTGGAAAACCAAGGGTGGGGGGAGGCCTGGGGTCATGTTGTTCCACGACCCTCAGCCAAGACGACCATTCCTGAAGACCAGTTCCTCAAGGCCACTACCCTTCGAATCTATATTGACCGTGGGAAATCACGAAGCCCTGGAGGTAAGTAGAGTACTCACCTATTTGTGATTGTATGGGTCAGTTTTCAGCTCCTGGTCCCGCCTCTCACGTTGTTACTAGTTAGATTCACTCCTACCCTCGTGAGCACAGCTGCCTCCGCCACTTGGCTATCATTCCATTCCCCGACCACTTTGAAACTAAGATGTGTGTGTGCATACTTACCTGTTTGTGGTTGCAGGGGACGAGTCACAGCTCGTGGCCCCGTCTCTTCGTTGGTCGTTACTAGGTCCACTCCCTGCTCTATGAACTTTATCGTATCTTAAACCTATGTATGAATCCTGCCTCCACTCCATCACTTTCCAGATTGCTCCATTTCCTGACAACTCTATAACTGAAGAAATACTTCCTAACATCCCTGTGAGTTATGTGAGTCTTCAACTTCCAGTTGTGACCCCTTGTTACTGTGTCCCATCTCTGAAACATCCTGTCCCTATCCACCTTTAAGCATTTTATATGTCGCTATCATGTCCTCCCTATCCCTCATGTCTTCCAGTGTCATTAGGTCGATTTCCCTTAACCTCTCCTCGTAGGACATACTCCTTAACTCCGGGACTAATCTTGTTGCAAGCCTTTGCACTTTCTCCAGTTTATTGACATGCATGACTAGGTGTGGGTTCCATACTAGTGCAGAATACTCCAATATGGGCCTGACGTAAGTTAAGTTTATTCAGGTATATACAAATACATTTACTTAGATTATCAAACATAGCATATGTGTAGAGAACCTAGGATAACCCAAAAAAGTCAAAAGTGACTTATTTTCATTGGGGTGTACCGAGTCTTGAATGTGTGTGTGTGTGTGTACTCACCTAGTTGTACTCACCTAGTTGAGGTTGCGGGGGTCGAGTCCGAGCTCCTGGCCCCGCCTCTTCACTGATCGCTACTAGGTCACTCTCCCTGAGCCGTGAGCTTTATCATACCTCTGCTTAAAGCTATGTATGGATCCTGCCTCCACTACATCGCTTCCCAAACTATTCCACTTACTGACTACTCTGTGGCTGAAGAAATACTTCCTAACATCCCTGTGATTCATCTGTGTCTTCAGCTTCCAACTGTGTCCCCTTGTTACTGTGTCCAATCTCTGGAACATCCTGTCTTTGTCCACCTTGTCAATTCCTCTCAGTATTTTGTATGTCGTTATCATGTCCCCCCTATCTCTCCTGTCCTCCAGTGTCGTCAGGTTGATTTCCCTTAACCTCTCCTCGTAGGACATACCTCTTAGCTCTGGGACTAGTCTTGTTGCAAACCTTTGCACTTTCTCTAGTTTCTTTACGTGCTTGGCTAGGTGTGGGTTCCAAACTGGTGCCGCATACTCCAATATGGGCCTAACGTACACGGTGTACAGGGTCCTGAATGATTCCTTATTAAGATGTCGGAATGCTGTTCTGAGGTTTGCTAGGCGCCCATATGCTGCAGCAGTTATTTGTGCAAGAAAGGTATAAAATACCGACAATATGAAAGTTAAGACACATGTGCAACATCTGGATATCTTTATTGTAGACGTTTCGCCATCCAGTGGCTTTATCAATACAGATTCTAGGACATAATAGGAAGACAGTAGAACTATATACAAAAGATGAGGTAATCAGTCCCTCGGCCTTGGAGTTAGTGTTCACAGCATCGTGGTGGAGGAGAATCTGATTACCTCATCTTTTGTATATAGTTCTACTGTCTTCCTATTATGTCCTAGAATCTGTATTGATAAAGCCACTGGATGGCGAAACGTCTACAATAAAGATATCCAGATGTTGCACATGTGTCTTAACTTTCAGCAGTTATTTGGTTGATGTGCGCTTCAGGAGATGTGCCTGGTGTTATACTCACCCCAAGATCTTTTTCCTTGAGTGAGGTTTGTAGTCTCTGGCCCCCTAGACTGTACTCCGTCTGCGGTCTTCTTTGCTGTTCCCCAATCTTCATGACTTTGCACTTGGTGGGATTGAACTCCAGGAGCCAATTGCTGGACCAGGTCTGCAGCCTGTCCAGATCCCTTTGTAGTTCTGCCTGGTCTTCGATCGAGTGAATTCTTCTCATCAACTTCACGTCATCTGCAAACAGGGACACCTCAGAGTCTATTCCTTCCGTCATGTCGTTCACAAATACCAGAAACAGCACTGGTCCTAGGACTGACCCCTGTGGGACCCCGCTGGTCACAGGTGCCCACTCTGACACCTCGCCACGTACCATGACTCGCTGCTGTCTTCCTGACAAGTATTCCCTGTTCACTGTAGTGTCCTTCCGTTTTCACCACTGCTTGGTCCTCCAGTTTTTGCACAACTTCTTGTGTGGAAACTGATTCAAACCCTTCTTTGCAGTCACAGAAAATGCCAATTGTACCACCAGCTTCTCTCTTGTCCTTAACTGTGTCACCATGTCGATGAACTCCATTTAGGTTTGTGACACAGTTTCCCCGTTTCCCTGAAAACCATGTTGTCTGCTGTTGATGAGATTCCTTTTTAGGTGTTACACCACTCTTCCTGAATCTTCTTGATAATCTCCTGATAATCTTGTTGTTGTGTGTGTGTGTGTGTGTGTGTGTGTGTGTGTGTGTGTGTGTGTGTGTGTGTGTGTGTGTGTGTGTGTGTGTGTGTGTGTGTGTGTGTGTGTGTGTGTGTTGGAGAGAGAGGAGAGAGAGAGAGAGAGAGAGAGAGAGAGAGAGAGAGAATTGGATAATTATCACGATACCATTTTTCATACAGTTCGGTACGGGGGCACACCAAGTGTCTCACCTTTATTCATTATGCAAATTGACCTGGTAATATGCAAGCTAAACTTCCCCAGATCCAGGCTGCTCTTGACTTCCTCTAATAATCAGCGTAACATATTGCACTGAATTTGCATTTTGAATGGTTCAGATATATCCATGGAAAAAGATTATCTCTCCTCTCCTTTTCTCATCTCATTCTCTCTCTCTCTCTCTCTCTCTAGTTCTAAGGCAGCGGGCAACGACCACTAGCTTACTGGTCCTCATGTTCTCATTTCAATTTTTTTCCCCGAAAGTTCGCAAAAATACTTCAAATGAGATCATTTATTCTCATTTCAAGAACTTCAAGACGCCTCCTTCTCCTCAGGTAAAGGAAGGTCGTCGGGCGGGTCAGATGAATGCAGACCTAGAGGAGGTGATGTCCAAAGCCCAGCCAGAGCAGGAGTTCAACTTCATCCTTAACCATGCACTGCAGGTGAAGGCAGGACCCACTTGTCACTTCCTGCCAGTTAACGACCTTGCCAACCTCCGTAGAGATACCCTCCTCAAGGTAAGCTTGTGTAATTGCCTATTTACAATTAGCTGTTCGTAGCTGTGAGAGCAGATCTGTTTTTCCTGACAAGTTAAATACTCCCGTTGTGTCCTCAGATTTTAGATGAAGAATTTTGACGTTGAAGGGGCTATTTATTTTGAACTATACATCCGTGAAGAATAAAGGCACAATACTGTTCTTGAAATAATACACAGATAACCTGTACGTGGGAGACTGAGGCTTATGACGAATTTCTGGCTGACTTGGACCATTAACTAGTCACTTTTCCGGCCGAGACATCGTCAAGTTTCTCTCCTACGCGCCGGTTGTGTATTGCCCCATTTCCATCCTTTGGGCGGTATTGTAAAAGCATTTGGAACCATGCCCCGAAAGGATCAACATATATACTTCAACAGTTTATGTTGTTTCAGGTGTTGGTGGGGATGCTGAACACTGGTGAGCCTGGGGTGGTGTACCTCGGAGTGAGGGAGAACGGCAGAGTAGAGGGTATCACAGCAGAGACACAATTACTCACTCAGTTCGTCGAGGGACTCATGAAGATGATGCAGTTCTACCTGATGCCTCGCGTCCACGCCCCTCAGTATGGTGAGTTCCCCCACACCAATAATATTGAAGTCAGATTGATAGTTTTATTATGTTCCCCCATATCCACCTTGTGGACGGTAGTGAAAAGGTTACAGACAAAATGTGTCCTGGAACTGGAGCCCCAATGCTCCTGTTGAATCACCTCCAAATTGGTACTCGACTCTTTTACATGGGAATTTGAGGAGTGAGACACAAGTTGCAGAACGAGCTTTCACTGGGATAACATTTCGCCCTGTGTAGAGCTTTATCTACACAAAGCAAATGTCCCAATTAAAGTTTTATTCTGCAACGCGTGTCTTTGGTTTCATTTTGTTGGCAATATGCTACTTCGTTCTTACACGAAGAGTTTGACCAATGGTATAGCAATACGGAGATGTCCACCTATCTGACGATTGATTGTTGATGGTTCCGGGGGGTCATTGCCCCCTCTTCCCGTTTTTTGATAAAGTTTTGTGGTTGCTGGCTTGATGAGCCAGGCTATTAGTGCTAGCAACATATAGTCCAACGAAACCACCATATAAAGACTGATCATGACGTGTCTGGAGAAGCCCGTCAAGTTTCTCTTTGAATAGTGGTTTAGTATTACGGGAATGTCAGATTGAATGATGGTTTAGTATTACGGGAATGTCAGATTGAATGATGGTTTAGTATTACGGGAATGTCAGATTGAATGATGGTTTAGTATCACGGGAATGTCAGATTGAATGATGGTTTAGTATCACGGGAATGTCAGATTGAATGATGGTTTAGTATTACGGGAATGTCAGATTGAATGATGGTTTAGTATTACGGGAATGTCAGATTGAATGATGGTTTAGTATCACGGGAATGTCAGATTGAATGATGGTTTAGTATCACGGGAATGTCAGATTGAATGATGGTTTAGTGTGAAAGTCACGTCAATTTGAACGATGGTTTAGCATCACATATCGTCATTTTGAAACGTTTTCACAATTCACAGTGATTCTCTTTTAGCTTTCTCACAACAAGTTCAAGCTTTGTGTTTGAGGATATTTGCATTTTGCAGCATAGTTGCAGTACATTTAAATGTTAAATATCATTAAGAGGCTAGACTACAGACAGGTGTGTTTCAGGAGTGCGGTACAACAACGTGATGACCTCCAGTGGACAGATCCTGAATAACATGTGGGTGGTGGAGCTCCACGCCGTGCCCCAAATGGTATAGTGCTTGTCTTCTCTTTGTACATAAAGAACATTATATGAGCTGTAATTTATGTGGGTCATTCGCCGAAAAGTGTGGAGATCATACAACATGGTATAGGCAGATAGCATAAAATGTTTAGTTTACAAACGAGGCTATCTGCTGAGATAGACTATCTGGGACTGTCAGTTATTAATTATAGTTGTGGCAATAACAGAAAAGTTGAAGGCCCTCTCTTCATCTTTCTCTTCCTCCGGACACTGCCTTAATGAAACAGGGGGAATGGGGGAACATTTTTGGGATGCTCAAAGTTGCATGCCCCATTCGTTTTCCTTGAATAATAATAAAATATATTGTTGAAGTTAGTAGCTACATAGGGTGGTACTCTCCTGTTATAAAAGTATGAAACTGAAGCCTATTAAACGTTTTGCACTCTGACGGGATTTTTTTTTTAATCTCTTAAACACATTAAATAACAGGTTAACCTTACAAACTTCTCCACATATTCACAATGCACTCCTTCTTCCCAGCCGCTGTATGACCCCATCAAGTTTAGATCTCCTAAATACAATGATAATATAGCATAATAAATCTAAAAATTAATAATACTATAAAAATAATAATGAGCTTATTTGACCACTGATCTCCAGGAACATTACTACAACGCCCTGACGAGCATGGACTACTATGTACGATGTGGTACCGACACTAAGACCCTCCCCTTCACCACCTTCTGCAGTGCCGTGGTCGCCGCCGCCTCCGAGCCCTACCTGCGGGAGACGAGCCAGCTGGAGGAGCATATACAACGGCTAAGGACGGCATTGCAGGAAGCTGGAGTCGTTACCTCTTCAGTCCCCTCCGTCGACAACTATTGCTGGTTCACCGACTGCCCGGCACAATGCTATGGCAGACCTGTCGTCGCTAACAAGAGCCAGTGGCAGGTCTGACAGTGCTGATGACAGTACCTGTCGCCACTAAACGTACCTTGACAAATTTGTCGTTGCTGACAGTGTCTTAGTAGACCTGCCATTGCTGACTGCCGTGGCAGACCTGCCATCACTGACAGTGCCGTGGCAGATCTGCCATCACTGACAGTGCCGTGGCAGACCTGCCATCACTGACAGTGCCGTGGCAGACCTGCCATCACTGACAGTGCCGTGGCAGACCTGCCATCACTGATAGTTCCGTGGCAGACCTGCCATTGCTGATAGGTGGATAGGGAGGTAGAAGGTACATACACACATACGGGTACATGGTAGATATATAGTGAGATTATGGATAGATAGGGGTAGAAGATAAATATATAGGTGTAGAAGGTACATGTTTAGATACAAGTAACATAGATAATGACCTGATGAATAGATAGGAATAGTTAATAGATACATAGGATTGAAGAGATTATATTTGTGTCTTCAGTACCGGCACAACACTAGTGACACAAGGTTCCTTTTATAGTGGCAGTGTGGTATCAAACATAATCACTGCCAGCAGCAGTGACAAATTAGTTTGTAGTCACAGGTATCAATACCGTTGTGGTATCAACATTCTCATGCGTTACATGTATGGAGGTTAAACAAAATATCTGAGATATAAAAAAAAAATATAAATACAAGATATTTAGTCATAAAGTATTAAGGTTGATATAAGTGCATTTTAATTTATTTTAATATATAAGTTTGGAGATGGGTGTTTACCGGATTTTTATTGAGTCGGTAAAGAATCCAACTTTTCATAGTTACTTGTGATTATGTTCTTCGTGGATGGTCCACATTCTTTTATGTAGCGTAAATGTGCTTACATATATATTTTTAATTCCTGTTTCGTTCTTGCATAAGTGCAACATTTGTGCACTAAAGTTCATTTATGTTCTCATTATTGAAGTAACATCTTTGTTCATTATAGTTAAAAAAAATGCTGCCAAGATCTTCGTGGAGAATTTTATCCTAAACTTTAAAATTCGTTATAAAATTAATCTTGAAACCGGTTTAATTACGGGCCCTCCGTCCCCACGTTACACAGGATGTGTGCGTGCTCGTGTGTATATATACACATGGAAAAGACAGACAGCAAAAAGCCTGTAAGTTCGCACCGAGACTATGTCCTAAGAATACCCATCCACTTTCATCTAGATTAAGGACTGTCATGTATTATCTATATGTGTGAGACAAGGATAGGAGAGCAGAAAACTCACCCCATCCTCCACTCCCTCCAGTCACTATCAGCGTGAAAAATGGGGAAACAAATATACCATACCACATTGAAAAATAGCGTTGAACTGGAGGGAAGACGTGAGCTACATTTACCTCTGCTAAATTATTACTGTTTCTCTCTTACTACACGTGTTTTTCCACTGTCATTCATAGTGTACCAGCAGTTCTACTGCTTACCACCAGTTGTGTACCAGCAGTTCTACGGCTTACCACCAGTTGTGTACCAGCAGTTCTACTGCTTACCACCAGTTGTGTACCAGCAGTTCTACTGCTTACCACCAGTTGTGTACCAGCAGTTCTACTGCTTACCACCAGTTGTGTACCAGCAGTTCTACTGCTTACCACCAGTTGTGTACCAGCAGTTCTACTACTGCTTACAGGCTCTGGTGGCCTGGTGGTTAACGCTCTCGCTTCACACGGTGAGGGCCTGGGTTCGATTCCCAGCCAGAGTAGAAACATTGGACGTGTTTCTTTCCACCTGTTGTCTATGTTCCCCATCAGTAAAATGGGTACCTGGGTGTTAGTCGACTGGTGTGGGTCGCATCCTGGGACACTGACCTAAGGAGGCCTGGTCACAGACCGGGCCGCGGGGGCGTTGACCCCCGGAACTCTCTCCAGATAAACTCCAGAAACCACCAGTTGTGTACCAGCAGTTCTACTGCTTACCACCAGTTGTGTACCAGAAGTTCTACTGGTTACCACCAGTTGTGTACCAGTAGTTCTACTGGTGACCACCAGTTCTGCTATGACTGTCACAGCTCACTACTTCTGTTACGGCTGCATGACCCTTGTAGGTTTAGCGTTTCTTTTTTATTATAATACTTGTGTTAGCGACCTTCCTCGCTGTCAGCTGATCGTCTTGATGCAGTCACTGTACAAGCATCAGGAATCCTTCTACTTCAGATTGTCTCATCTGTTGTTCGTATAAGACGATCCATGCAGGTTTTACAGCGAGTTTAGTCACGGTTCAGTGTAAGGATGAGGTAGCGAGTGTCCAGTGCAACATTTCGCTCCTATCCTTCCCCGCCATACCCTATACTTTGCTGGTCGTTGTAACTTCTTTTTTTTCAGGGTGGGGGGGAGGGGGGTTGTCCTCAAGGTTCTGGTAACTTCTCACATTAGAAAACGATGTACCTAGTTCAATCCTATTCTTGCAAAGTGCTTGTATACTTGGTTCTACAACTTAACCGGTAATTTAGTCCATTCTGCCATAATTATGTCAAAAAAGCTCCATATGTTCGTGTTGAATCTTCTACCTCGCAGTTCTATTGCATTGTATTGAGTTACTGTTGCATTCAGCACTTCAAATAGTTCTTCCTGTTTAAGTGTATCATAACCATTCAACATCTTAAAAGTCTGATGAGATCTCGTAGTCTCAGTTCCCCAAGAGGGAGATAAATAAAGGTTGAGTGTTTTGAGTTTTCATAAGGACTATGAGTAATGGTACGAGTCAGGTAGCTCGTCTCTCTAACCTGTCCAGTATATCTTCGTCTTTCATGTAATTTGCTACCAATAACGGACGGCATATTCAAGATGCGGTCTAACAAGTGGATTACAGAGTCAATATGGTGATTGATGTTTTGTGGTTGAAGTTTCCAGCTGTTAAACCTAGTGTTCTGTTGGTCTTGCGGCTTCCGGATACACATTGCTTGGAACTTTTCAGGTCGTTGTTTATGATTACTCCATATGTGTGTGTAAGTGTGCATGTGTGTGTAAGTGTGCATGTGTGTGTAAGTGTGCATGTGTGTATTGTTTGCATGTGTTCGTGTGTGCAATGAGTATTTGTGAGCGTGTGTATATGTGCGTGTAAATGTATGAGTGTACTTATGTATTCGTGAGTGTACGTGTATTTGTATATATGCGTGTTTGTATATATGTGTATGTGTGTTTGTATATACGTGTATGTGTGTTTGTATATACGTGTATGTGTGTTTGTATATACGTGTATGTGTGTTTGTATATACGTGTATGTGTGTTTGTATATATGTGTATGGTGTGTTTGTATATACGTGTATGTGTGTTTGTATATACGTGTATGTGTGTTTGTATATACGTGTATGTGTGTTTGTATATACGTGTATGTGTGTTTGTATATACGTGTATGTGTGTTTTGTATATACGTGTATGTGTGTTTGTATATATGTGTATGTGTGTTTGTATATACGTGTATGTGTGTTTGTATATACGTGTATGTGTGTTTGTATATATGTGTATGTGTGTTTGTATATACGTGTATGTGTGTTTGTATATACGTGTATGTGTGTTTGTATATATGTGTATGTGTGTTTGTATATACGTGTATGTGTGTTTGTATATACGTGTATGTGTGTTTGTATATACGTGTATGTGTGTTTGTATATACGTGTATGTGTGTTTGTATATATGTGTGTGTTTGTATATAGTATGTTTGTATATATGTACGTATATGTGTGTTTGTATATATGTGTATATGAGCGTATGTGTATTTTTTGTGTATACATGGTTTTGTACATTGGTACATGCACACGTGTCTGTACATGAGTACACGTGAAAGTGTGTCGTATGTGTGTGTGTGTGTGTATGTGTGTGTTCGTTGCATTATACACCAAGAAGCCCTTCTCATGTTTGCACCTGCTTCTGTATGCATTGCGGCGTCTTGAATTAATTTCGAGAAGTTAAATTTCCAGATATATTTTTTCTTGCAGCCGCTGTTTGTCTCGGGATAAGATTCTCAGAGGAGCGATCCTCTCTCCACACACACACACACACACACACACACACTTACGCTGTAGCTATTAAAATTGCAAATAACATAATATTAACTTTTGTTCTGTTTGGTTTTCCTCACCAGCTGGGACGTAGTGTTCAGTTGTAACTTTTATGGTTTCTTGAAGATAATCACAATAAGGGTCTATAATAACAGCATGGAGGAAATTGACACATGTACAACTCGTCTACCTGGAGGGTATTCCGGGGATCAACGCCCCCGCTGCCCGGTTCATGACCAGGCCTGCTGGTGGATTAGGGTCTGATCAACCAGGCTGTTACTGCTGGCCGCACGTAGTCCAATGTACGAACCACAACCCGGCTGATCTGGCATTGACTTTAGATATCTGTCCAGCTCTCTCTTGAAGACAACCAGGGGTCTATTGGTTATTCCCTTTATGGCTGACGGGAGGCTGTTGAACAGTCTTGGGCCCCGGACACGTATTGTGTTTTCTCTTAGTGTACCAGTGGCGCCCCTACTTTTTACTGGGGGTATGTTGCATCGCCTGCCAAGTCATTTACTTTCGCAGGGAGTGATTTCTGTGTGCATATTAGGGACCAGTCCCTCCATAATCTTCCAGGTGTAGATTATGATGTATCTCTCTCGCCTGCGCTCCAGTGAGTATAAGTCAAGTGCTTCCAGGCATTCCCAGTAGTTAAAGTGTTTGATGGAACTTATACGTGCAGTAAAGGTTCTCTATACATTGTCTAGATCAGCAATCTCAGTGCCTTGAATGGAGATGTTAATGTACAGTAATATTCCAGCCTAGAGAGAACAAGTGATTTAAAAGGGATCATCACTGGCTTGGCATCTCTTTGTCTTGAATGTTCTCATTTTCCATCCTATCAGTTTCCTCGCAGATGTGATAGTGGCATCGTGGGTATCTTAATTTGAAAACTTTTCGCCAACCAGGGGCTTTTTCATGTGTCTTCACATGTATCATTCCTCTCCTCTTGATGATGGGGGGACAGAGGGTTCAATTATAGATATTGTGATACCTGAAAGATGGGGCTAATTATATTTCTTGTTGTGTCTTTGGTTGTCAAGGGTTCAATTGTAGGTTTTGTGTCATCTTGGAGTTGGAGTTGCGTTATAAATCTTGATTTGCAGATTAATATATTACCAAGAGCGGTAAGTCCAGTGCTTGTGATATTTTAGACATCAGTGTTCATGTCATCAATATTGATGACATGACATGTCTGACAGGTGACAAGAAAAAATTCAGATTTCATTGTCTGGGACGCTATTAAATATTAAGTTGAAATGCAACATTTCACATTGGAAGGCAAAAATTTTGGAAGCAATAAAGATAACTTTCCTTTATATAAATAATGGTACAGAATAAGACCAAATTCCATTAGAAGCTACATTGTGGAACCACTTGAAAAAACTTTCAGTGAACATTTGTACAAGACTTTCGTAATTACGTAAGAAAACACTAGCTGTTTCAAATGTAACTAAAAAAATATAAAACCCATTTTTGGGGGGGATTCTGTTATAGTGAACCGAAATTTTCCATCTATTACAGGACACATGTGCAACACCCCCCCTCTCCCCCCCCAAAAAAAAAATGACGTCAGCGGCAATGCCAAAAATTAAATTTTTTTAATCATGTTTCATTCTAAAAAAAAAAAAATATTTACTACGGTAAACACGTAGAACTTAAAAAAAAAAAAAACTGGTCTTATTCTGTGTCATTTTATTAATTTTATTCCTAGAGTTATCATAAGTAAAGAACATAAGAAAGAAGGAATACTGCAGCAGGCCTACTGGCCCATGCCAGGCAGGGTCAATTCTCCTACCGACTTAAGGCAAGTTTGGAAAAATTGATGAGAATTTGATGATTCAGTTTCCAGTGAGGGTTATTATACATTTTTATGTGTTTCGTTAAAATTTATAATCAAAGGCGACTCGTGGGCTGACTCACAGGCACACTCGTGGGCTGGCTCCCAGGCACACTCGTGGGC